TTGCACTAAAGGTAATTAAGTGAGAATGAAGAAGAAAGTGATTAAGAGGAAATCATTGTTATGCTTACAAAGTAATTCAGGAAATTCTTGAAGAAAGAAAATAAATTTCAAGAAGAAAGGTCTCTCTAAGAAGAGGATCAAAGGTGACTCAAACAATAAGGATGAAATCATATGTTTTCGATGCTAGAAACCTGAACCCATCAAGTTTGATTGCCTTCTTGATGCTAAAAAAGGGTTCAAGGCAAAGGAGAAAACGAACAAAAAAGCTTTGGAGACTACTTCCAGTGATTATAGCTCAAAGTAGGAGTTAAGTGACAATAACTAGCAATCATATGTTTAATGACTAAGGATGATGAATCGCTACAAGTTCTAATCTTACTATTGATTATGAATTTAATTCTTTAGAAAAATTGGAAGATACATTTGATTAATCTTTGGAGATTATAGAAAATTGAGTACAAAGAATGCTAGTTCAAGAAAACCATATCCTCCCTCTTATTTGAAGGGGAAAAAAAAGGAACTACAAAATAATTGATGATTTAGCTTTGGAAAATCACTTCTTAAGAAAAATTATTTGCACAAAATTATGGATGCTTTGAGAAATGACAATGGTGCTTTAAGAAGGGAGTTGGAAGCTCAAAAATAAATCCTTTGAAGAGAAAATAAGTGTTTTGATTTACAAATGCAATGAGAGAGAACATAAAAACAAGTACTTGAACAGCACCATTTCAAATTTCATTGAAGAGAGTGGTAAGTTTTTAAAATATTTTGAATACTCAAAGAAACACTTATAGCAACACTAGTATTGGGTATGAAGATTTAAGTGGGTCTAAGATAAAAGTTAATTTGTAAAAGCTAGTGGCAATTCATCTATTAGTGTTCAAAATCAAGGTAGAAAGGCAAGCACTCAAAGAAGACATGTAATCAAATGTAACTATTGTTGTAGGAAAGACCACCACGTTTCTAAATGTTTCATTAGAAGAAGTGCACCAAATGAATATAGATGGATATGGGTATCAAAAGTACTAAGAGCTACATGTACTAACACTCAAGAACTCAAAAATCATTGGAGGTTAAAATACCATTTTGGTCCCTTAACTTTCCATTTTAGTACCAAAATTATCTCTAAACTTTTATTTTTGATATCAAAATGGTCTTTTCATTAATGGAAGTGCCAAGTGGCACGTTAAATTGCTAGAAAATCCATGTACAAATTTCAAGTCATTTTTTATTTATAATTTGGCATTTTTTTATCATTTTAAGTCAAGTTTCACAGCTTCCCAACCAATCCAAACCCTAAAAGAAAAAAAAAAAAAGCTTCATCTTCTTCCTCCTTTCTTCTCTCTCAATCCTTTGGTACTTTGCCTCCTCATTTCTCTATCAACCTTGCTCTTCTCCTTCCTTACTTAAGAGAGTGGTAAGTTTTCAAAATGTTTTGGATACTCGAAGAAACACTTATAGCAAAACTAGTATTGAGTATGAAAATTTAAGTGAGTCAAAGATAAAAGTTATTTAATTTGTAAAAGCTAGTGGCAATTCACCTATTAGTATTCAAAATCAAGGTGGAAAAGCAAACAC